TGGGTCGACTTTGGATGGCGTGCCCACTGTCCACGTCCCTCTGGGCTGTCTGTGCCTGAGCCCAGCTGAGCCTGTGCCTGTTGCCTGTGCCTGCACCTGCATCTGTGCCTGCGAGGTCCCGTTGGTCGCCTGCGCGGCAGCTGCCTTGTCCATGCCTTGGGGGAGACACCGACGGGCAGCAGATGCCAGAGACACTGAGTGAGAGAACCTAGGCAAGGAGATGAGGCCTGAGGATGGTGCCTGTTGTGTGTGCTTGTGTCTGTCGGCGTCCCGGTGTCCAGGCCCAGAAAAAGCTGTGAAAGCCGGGCGACGGGCCACGGCACCTCAGGATCGTGTCCAAAAATGGGTCTGTGGCGCCGTGATTGGCTGCGCAAACCTTCTCGGTGGGACGGCACTGAGCTGCGCTTGTTGACCCTGGGCGGTGGCTGCACCTCCCACTGGTTCGTTCCTGGAGCGCCCCTGAGGATCGCCCCCGCAATCCCTGCTAGCACCCTGCAGGAACAGCAGCGCCCATGTCGTCCGAAAACAACTCATCCGAACTCACTCGCTCGAGAGCAGAGACGCGCAGAGTCAGTCAAATCAAATCGTCTTTGCCGCCATTGCCAAGAGCCCAAGTCGATGCTGCACTGCTGATTGCCTCTGTCTGGATGGAGTCCTCCGGGACGTGGGCGCAAAGTGGCTGCTGTTGGGGGGCCGTCGCCGTTGTCGTGGGAAATGCGCCTGCCAATCATTGCCCGCACAATCAGGGATTTACATTGTCTTCCACGTCGTTTCCATTCTTTTGGGTTGTCCCGGACCACACTGTGAAGTCGAACAAGACAGTCCAACAGTCAAGCCAGCGCTCTGCCCTCCCGCCATGGCGCCGATGCGGCTTGCTATCCGTCGACGGATGGAAAACTTTGCAGCCAAGAGGCGAAGCAGATGTTCTAGCCCGACATTAGCTGGCGCTGATGCCATCGTCCGGTCTAAACGTTCTAATATTGGATCCTGCAGCGTACCAGGTCAAAAAATCCAGAACATCCAGCAGAAGAAAAAGGAAAACCTGAATCAACGCCAACAACGGTGCGGGAGGACATCAACAGAAACAATCCACCAGGCGATGCGTCTTTCCCCCTCCCGCTCTCGTCTGCAATGACGACGCTGTGTGCCGTGCGATCCTTATCGTTCGGCCGATTCAGGTCTTTCTCTTTCTGCTCGGTCATTTCGTCGTTCCACGGTGTGACCCCAGAGGCTCCAGGGTTCTAGCATTGAAACACCATTCAGGTTGCTCCTCGCACCGTCAATCTCACCACCAGATCCCGGCGAACCAAAATTCAAGACGTTGCTTCCAGAGGGTTCCCTTGTCGGCGCAACAGTAAATCGGCGCGAGAAAATGACCCCAATCATGGGGGTCTCCACTGCCATTTCCCATCTGGAGGGGGCCTACGCAACACTCTGAGAGTTGACAGCGTTTATTAGCCCGGGGGTCAGCAAAGCGAATCCTTCGTCAAGCCTGATGCGGGTTTGCGAGCAGTAAGTGTTCTCTCGTCCGAGTACTCTTCCGAGATGAGGCCAAGCTGCCACGATGGGGTCGGCGATTAGCTTTTGCATGGCTCGCCAAGATGATGAGGATGTCGGTTAACCTCCTCCGACTGCGTCTGTTGAATGCGATCGTCAATGAGCAATCCAAGTTTCTGCAATTCCTCTGCAGCAAGCTGGCCACTTGTGTTGTTGTGCAACCGTCGGTAGGGTAGGAAACCGCTCCGGCAGGCGTTTGTCTTTTCCGCGCCAGAGCGCAAAACCCCCTATGGATTCGTTCATTGCAACGTGAAACCATTGTCCATCGTTTCTGTCTTGGTTGTCACATCGCTCAAGTCCTCCATGTTGATTGCAACCGGCAGACACCTCTCGTGCATCCCGAAATTGAATGGGCACACGTTGCAAGGAGGCCCTTGTTGAACTTGTTTGGAGGGCATGTTGGTCTGCTTGCAATTGAGTTGATTGTCGACAGATGTCTCTATCGCAGACTTCTCTCTGACAACGAACGAGAACCACAGGCCAGAGCGCTCGGATAGCGAGGCATGGCTAGTCGCGATGGGTTGCCGCGTTGCCGCGCAGCGCTTGCCCATTGCTGTGCTCATAGCCTGGTGCTAGCTGAAGACCAACGTCGCAGGCGACAGGCCACATTCCACGTCGGGGGCGATGTTTCGAATCCTGTGATGGGGGCCCAGCATCGACGCCGTACCATACGAGGTCTTCAGGTTTGTCACGGCAAGCCCTTGGCCAAAGAGTCAGGTGCTTGTCGAATGTGAAGCACCTAGATTGGTGTTGTGGACCGGCGAGCGGTTTTTCGGATCTGTGATCAGTGTCGGTTGCTGCTACCGATGACACGGCGTGTCCGATTTCTGAGCAGCGATCTTTCATTTGCTGAGAAGATCTGTGCCAAAGGCATGTTGGTCTGTCTGCAGCTGGTCACATGTTGGTTGTCCAAATTTATCTCTTGGTTTGCAGTTCTCGTATCAACGGTGCCCAATACGGCGTCTTGATTGGCGACGATTGAGTATGCCTGGATGCCCCGGATGCCCCCTCGAGACAACACGAGAACGAGAGCAGCCGACAACTGTCACCGCCATGCATTCGACGTGATTGGCGATTGCAGGTCCGTTGCGCCTGTTCGAAATGTTTTCCAGAGAAAAGGGCGGTGTCGCGTGTCGTGCGAATGAGGCATCACCGCCAGTCGCAGTCGACACCGCCGACCACATCATCGCGCAGGAGCGGGTGATGCAGGTGCAAGGGCGAGTTGGGTGGTAGTAAGCGCGAGCCTATGCAAGTGCAGCTCTGCCAGCGCAGCCCAGCAGCCACTTGCTGCACTCATTGGGCAAGTAGCCTCTCTGCGTTGTTCCCTCTCGTCCCCTTCAGACGGGAAGTCCAGCCTTGGGCAGCACCTCAGTTCTCTCAGGTCGCTGAATGGAACGAACCAGTTACCCCGCCCCCGCATCCTACCCGCCGCTGACCTACCACGACCCTTTGAGTTTCATCTGCGTGGAACCTCCACCGACCAACTTCCAGCCCACGTACGCCTCACGTCGTCTGGAACGCAAACACATGTCATAATACAGAATCCCAAAGATATCCAAACCCAAGGTACGCACGCAATGCAATATTCTTCCCCATCGCGTTGCAGATCCTCTCTTCCCAACGCCCATCCCCATAGTCCGGTGACATTTCCTTTGCTGACTGATCTGGCCCCCGAAGCTTACCGGCAGCTGGCCCTCCCTCCCAGAAGCTCTTCCCTGCAACCACCCATCTTCCACCACAACCTCGACCCGCATCGAAAAAGAACACCGAATCATGGCAACCGCGACGACGTTCTCGACCGATCCAGCCCTCTGGATCTTCACCTCCCTGACCGCCGGCTCCTCTCACATTGTCACTGCGACCTCCCGTCTCGAGACGATCCTCCGCGCCAACCGTGTCCCCTTCAAGGCCATCGACATCGCGACCGATGAGAAGGCCCGTATGCTCTGGGGCCGTCGCGCCGGCAAAGATGCATCCGGCCGCGTGAGAAGACTTCCGGGTCTGATCCAGGAGGGCTTGGTGCTCGGCGTGGGTTACCCCTTTTTCTTCCATCCGCAGGAAATGAGCTAATCCGCTCCCCGACCAGGACCTCACCGAAATCGAAGAGTGGAACGAGTACGGCGAATTGAAGCAGCATGTCAAGATCTACTACGACGAGTTCACCATCCCAAATATCCACAATAAGCCCAAGATCATCAAGAAGGTCATCAAGAAGAAGGTCCCAGCCGCCGGAGCAGAAGGCGAGCCATCCACCTCGGGCCCTGCACCCCCCGCACCCCCGGCCGCTCCACCCCTGCCAAAGAACGAGACCTACAACGCCGCTTCGAAGCCCGCTGCCGACCCGAAGCCTGCAGCAAGCGGCAGTTCGACCACGCTCCCGGTGCGCTCCATCGCCGACGAAGCAGCCGCGAAGGCTAAGCAACTCCGTCTGCAATCGCTGCGCGAGAAGGTTCACGGCAAGAAGGACGAAAAGGCCGAAGAGAAGAAGGCCGAAGGCGCGAGTGCTACCGCCGCGTCAGCCGAGACCCCCGCCGAGCCCGAAAAGAAAGCAGAGACCCCAGCCGCCGACGCCACAGAAGATGCGCCCCGAAAAGCCTCCGTAGCCAGCACTGGCAGTGTTTCTTCGGCCGCCAAGGCAGGCCTCCAGTCCCCGACCACAGGATCCTGGGGCGCCTCAACCACCAACCCCGACGCCCTTCGCGAGACACTGCAATCACCGACAACGGCCCGGTGGAAGCCGTCGGACGTCGACAAGCCCGTCACGTCACACATGGGCGCCCAGGTGGCATCCGCGTCTCAGGAGGAGATTGCAGTCGTTGAGAAGGCCGAGGCGATCAAGGAGGAGCCGGAGAAGGAGTCGTCATCTGAGGAATCATCTGAGGAGGAAGAGGCCACAAAGCCACCCATCGTAAAAGAGGTGTCGCAAGAGAAGATTGCCGAGGTGGAGAAGGCGCAAGCGATCAAGGAAGAGCCTGAGAAAGAGGAAGAGGAGGAAAGCGACGACGATAGCGATGAGAGTGAGGAAAGCGAGGAGGAGACGAAGAAGGTTGAGGCGCCCAAGGAGGCAGCTAAGGAAAAAGTCAAGGAAGAGCCCAAGGAAGAAGTCAAGGAAGCACCCAAGGCCGAGGCAAAGACTGATGCAAAGACTGATGCAAAGATCGAGCCAAAGGTCGAGCCAGAAGTTGAGGCAAAGCCAGAGGAAAAGGCAGAGGAGAAGGTGGAGACGACAGAGAAGTAAGCATCACCGCCTTGCCGGCAAGGATTGCAAAGCAAGACGTTCAACCACTCAAGGTAGGAGAGCATGATGATGTAAGAGTAGGAGATGTTCGCGAACCCTCCACAAAGGCCATTCTTGATGAATCGCTTTTGCTACATGAGATTAAGTCGTAGGTAGTGTAGTCCATCTCATCCAAATTCTGTCTTATATGCCAACCAAACCGCCTTCAATACAATCCCTCGTCATCACTAGCCGTGCCATCCTGGAACCCGGCCACAGCCTTACCCTTTCCCTTGCCCTTGCCGTTCACGACGACGTCGCCCTCGGATCCGTACTCGTCATCGCTATCCGTCGCGATAGCTTTCCCCTTGCCCTTGCTCCCGCCGCTGGCGACGGCCTTGCCCTTGCCCTTAGAACTAGCCCTCGACACGATCGACGACCCCGACACGGCTCTCAAACCCGCAGTCGCGGGCCGCTGCTGCTGCGGCTGCTGTTGCTTATCCTTGTCAGGCGAGCCCTCGAACATGGCGCGGACCTGCTCGTAGTGAGCCAGCTCGCCCGCGCTGACGGACGGCACGAGCTCGCGGTTGGCGGCGAGGAAGTCCTCCTCCGTGACCATGACGGCGATATCCTCGGGCGTGGCGTGGTGGTCGAAGAAGTACGCCGTGGAGATGGGGCCCTGGTGGCGGCGCGTGGCGAGCGCGGCGGGGTCCGCGTTGATCTCGCGGATCTTTGCATCCACGGAGGCGGCCTGGCGGGTGACGGCCTTGAGCATGGCGTCGGAGCACAGGGCGTAGAAGTCGGCTCCGGTGTATGTGAAGGGGAGCTGCTGGGCGACGGACTGCAGGGAGACGGACGGGTGGAGTGTGAATCTGGAGGGTTTGGTCAGTATGGTTTATTACAAGGGAAGGTTGAGGATTCTACTCACTTTCTGGTAAGAGCTTCCAGAATCTTGAGCTGCTTGTCGTGGGTGTCAGATACTCCGAGGTAGAGCATCTTGTCGAAACGTCCGGGACGGAGGAGAGCAGGATCCAAGAGGTCTGGTCTGTTCGTGGCACCAATGACGAAGACGCCGCCGCTGGTGTCGTCGCCTCCGGACATGCCGTCCAGCTCTGCCAGAAGCTGAGAAACGATACGGTCCATGACTCCACCGCTGTCACCCTGGTTTCCACGCTTCGGCGCCACTGAATCCAACTCGTCAAAGAAAACAACGCAAGGTCTGGCATCTCTGGCGCGCTGGAACACGCGTCTGACGTTGGCCTCGGACTCACCAATGTACATGTTGAGCAGCTCTGGTCCCTTCACGCTGAAAAAGTTGAGACTATACTCCGTAGCGATAGCCTTTGCAAGCAGCGTCTTTCCGGTTCCGGGGGGTCCGTAGAAGAGAATACCAGAGCGCTTCTTCATGCCCTTGGCAAATAGCTCTGGTCGCTCGAGCGGCAGCTGGATCGTTTCCGTGACGGCATCCTTGACGTTGTTCAAGCCTCCAACGTCGTCCCATGTCACGTTGGGGATCTTGGGAGCACCGATGGCGCCAGCGAAGTTCTTGCGCGCGGCTTCAACGGCAACGTCAAAATCGCCCTTGGTCACACATCGGGCCATCGGGCCACCTGCGACTTGAAGGTCGCGGACGGAGACGGTTCGCCCCGAAGTGCCCGTCTTGAGAGAGATTTGCTCCAGACGCAAGCGCTGTGCAATGAGCGCGCGGTCCACTACGTCAACGAGGTCCCCTGCTACCAGTGCAGCTGTCTTGAGGGCGATGCCATTGAGGTCGACTTCGGGGTCGAGGTTGATGCCGCGATCTTCAACAATGGTTCTCAGAATACCCTCACGCTCAGCTTCGTCAGGAGCACCCATCTCCAGCTCATGGCTAAAAAGGCCGCGGACTCCGTCAGGCACCTTGTCAACGTCGCTTGTCGTTGCGATCAAGACTCTTGTGTCCTGCAGGATTTCTTTCATCGTAGAGACCATGCGATCGGCCGTCAACGCCTCGACGTGCTTGATCAGCAACGCCGTGGTTTCTGGGCCACAGCTCATCGCTCTCTCGGACCTTGTTCTTAAAAGTCCTTCCGTCTTGACATCACTGCCACTGGTTCCGGCTTCGCTCAGTATGTCATACGCATCAATAGCATATGTGTGAAGTCCAATATCTGAGCAGGCTTCCGACGCGACGGTTGCCTTGCCGATGTTGCGATGAGAAGACGTAAGAAGGATGGCTACCGGTGGCATCTTAAGATGGATTGCTCTGGGACTGGTGGCTGCAGCGAGAAGCTCCCTGAGACGCCGTCTCAAGGAAGAGATGTGACGTTGATCCTGTTCAGGTAACGTCAAGGCAGACGCGCTTGGTGACTTGGAAGGCATCTTCTTGACGCCCATATAGTATGGCCAAGTGCTGTTCTTGGTAGCGGGTATACGGCTGGTGGCGAAGCCGGAGCCATGCATCGCAACTGAAGAGCTGTCGATGCACGCAACTCCACCCCATAGATCGTCTGACTGGTCGTCTTCCGCCTCCGTTTTGGATATTTGGATATGGCCCACCTTGAACCAGGCTACTTGATCGACCCTTGAGGATCCATCCTTGGTAAGAGCCATAACATCATCCACTTCTGATCCATTGCTCCCGCTCGCCTGCTCTTGGAGGGCCTTTCCTAATTGCGTGTCGATAGGTACAGCAAGGAGGTCTCCTGTCCTAACGAGACGGAACTTTTGAGCAAAGTAGCGCTTCAGTCCACCCAGCACTGCCGACTGGTATGCTCGCTCGGCAGTTACAGGGGACCGGACGTGTTGGATCGTAATATCGCGAGCGTACGGCGGTCGAGAAGCGCTCGTGAACTTGGGTAGAGTTCCCTTACCTTGGTAAGAACCGCGCTTGATAGGTGATAGTCGCAGATACGGAGGCCCATCAAGATTGGCCAGCAGAATTGGAGAAATGTAAGCTGCTGGGCTTGTCGGCTTTTGGAGCTGAGACTCGAAGAATGACAACCTGCGTTCCCCGTGCTTTGCGCTAGGTATCCGTGTCACCGGGCGTTGCGAATATCCCTCAGGAAGACCATACACCCTCACAGGCCGCCAATTAGACTCAGTCGGCTCTAGTGACGTAAAGCTTCCGAGGCCAAATGCGCCAAATCCGTTGGCAGGCGGTTCCTCGGCGGCCTCTACACGAACCCAGTCTCCTGAAAAACAGCCAATCTTGGACAGTGATGATATGTCTACGAAGATTCTGGCTTCGTCGTCATCCTCAGGGGCGGGCTTGGGGTGAAGAAGATCTACGGCAATGGGTCGAATCAAGCCCTGGGCCTTGAAAAGTCGTCCTCGGGGCCTGTCAGGACGAGCAGTCGTCGCGGTAAAGTTGGAGAATACAGACGCAGGCGTGGCAATTCCGTTGGTCTTTCTTCCTCTTCCAATCGTCATTGGAGTTCCAGGCTGCATCGTGGATACGCCGCTTGCTGTCGTGGGAAGCGTCGGGGCTTGTAAGGAAATCATATCGTCCATAGAGTCGTCAGACAAGTCGTCGTCTTGATCGATGCCAGAGAGCTCCGACTCTTCAGTTTCTGTGACCGAGTCCAACTCTGTAGTCGCAGCATCTGTCTTATACCGGTCTTCGGCAGCCGAGTAAAACTGATCGTTCGCTGTATCGTCCTCGTCGTCTTCGGGTACACCATTCAGGCTGCGGTTCGGGGGAATTGCCGAGGCGTGGCTACGTTTTGCGTGTACCCGTCCTCGCATCAGAATGATTTTGGTGTTCTCAGACAAGATTCCCTGGCTCACAGGCTCACATAGCATGATCTTTCCAGGATTCGGCGGAACGTGGGTGACTGGATGCGGAGGCAACGGCAGGGGGAAGAGATCGCCGGAATGAAGCACTATCAGGCTGCCCAAGGCCACGCGCAAAGCGGCAATCAGACGGCCGTCTGGGGTTGCCGGTCCCTTTCCAGTAGGAAGGCTAGGATGATCGCGGAAAAATGTTCCCTCGCCTTGCTCCAAGCGCTTCGTCAACTCGCTCTCGAGGCTCACAAATACCGTGTCCAACGAAAGGGCGACCACGTCAAGTATCTGTATCTCGATGCCGCTGCGACTGTGACTCGAGAGCTTCGACGGCGCGACTTGTTGTAGAATCGTCGCAAAGTTCTGAAGCGACAGAGAAGAGGGAGAGAACTGGACGGTCGAGGGTTTCATGGTGGAGGACTTGGTCACAGGCACAACTGTCCAGGCGGTTTCGGTCGGAGAGGGGTTCGGCTCCCACGGAGCGATCGCAACATGGTGAATATCTTCGGAGCCGTCTTCACGGGATGGAGCTGCGTCCACAAGCAATTAGCCATCGTGCGTGAGTGATAGCGATCTGAACAAGCGCGTCCTACCATCACGGAGGTGGGGGAACAGGTCCGCAAAGAGGTCCTCGGACAAGATACCGATGTCGCCCCTGACCTCATGGTCGTCGAGAATAAGTCTAGCAGATAGGGAGGGCTTGTCCTGTCTTCTTCTCCGTGTCCTTCTATTCCTCCTCGCCTGTGATGGCGGCACAAGCTCCGAGGTTGTCATGCTGGCGTTTCGGGACACGGGCCGATGTGAAGCGAAGCAACAGACGATATCTCAAATACGCATCGCAGGAAGTACAAAAGAACGGCCCAGGCGTCGAGTGTTAACAAAAGGAGTGAATCGTCGCGGAGCAAAAGATCAATTGGAGCCGAAGGGTATCAAAAGTCGCAGGACGGCGTGTCCCGATCGCGATGGCGGCGTTGAAGAGCTTAGCTTAGGTCCCTGAGTCCAGTGTCGGCCTCGAGTCGGGGCCAACTCAAGCTTCGGCTGGGGGTGTCTTAGGCCTCGGCATTGGCGCAGGGCCAGCTGCAGCCGCACCTTTTCCCCAATCTCCTGGGGTTACCAGGAGGTGCTGCACCTCAGGAAGGCAGCGGGGATAGCCGAATGACTAAGCACATTTCCCGGTGGAGCATCGACGCCGAATAATCCCCGCGCAAACCATACTTGACTCCATCGATAGTCAGGTGCATGTTGCTATTCACCAAGGCAACTGTCAATATCGCGAGTCGCGCTTGCTCATGTAGCAAGGCTGTTGTCGAAAGGCACCATGTCTTGCGAATTTATCTGTGCAACAATGGTTCCTCGTGGTAAGATGTTATCGAATGCCTCCGTCCGATATCGCATCCCCAAGAAGTGCGAGGTAGGCATTGGCAAGTCGAATATTGGAATGAAAATCATCCAATGGAAGAAGCGTTGGGTCTTTAAATTATTACTGCATGCTCTTCTTTCACTCTCTAATTCAAAGCTCACATAGGTCATCCCGCCCATGCGGCCTCGACATAGCACAAGCCCACAATTGGGAGATTAATTGGCATAGTGTATTCCTCTTTGGTGAAGTAGAAGTTTTGGGTAGTTAGCCCCAACAACAGCGCACTGCTTTACACGCTCCAATGAATGTGGCTGATCTCAAGTGCCATTCTGGAGTTGCAATCAAGTTCCTTATCAACGAGTTCTCCACTCAAGACAACGTCAGGAGAAGATGTCATGTTGACGCTTCTGCGGATTGGAACACAACATTCATCCACATGGATCCACTTACCACAGCTTCTACTTCGCCTCAAGGCGTATTTATCGACGTCCTACATGCATCTGCATCCTAATCGAATACCAAAACGGGTTGTAGGTGACCAGTTCGGGTGCAGCAGCCGGCCACGTCGCAATTGAGTTTCGCCGTGAGTAAGCAGCGCATTATTTCTGGCTTACAGGACAACTCCTAGCAGCCCCGTATGACGACTCTCTGGTTTCGCGGGTGTGCGGCATCCGGACGCGCTCCACGCTTTTGGCGAGTCGCCTTGATCCAGCTGAACAGAGACAAAAAATTACCACATCTGGCACAGTACAGCCTTGTCCAAACACCAAGCAGACTGCGTAATGTGGCGATCAAGCGATTGCTGGCACTGCAGATCCGGTTCGTCCTTGTTATCCGGCCGAGGAGGCTGGAAAGACAACACACTTCTCAGGGTAGAGAGCACAGACGCAGCGGCTTCGAAAAAGTCTGAATGTGCATGGGATGCTGAGTTGGCCGGGTTGACCCAGACTGTTGCCAGCAGCATCCGTACTCGGTTTCCGTATCCGTAAACACCACCCCGACTATTCTTGGGATTTTGTGGCGAAAGGCTAGGCAGAGTTCAAGGTAGCCGCGTGGTTGGTGCCGTTCAAAGGTTTGCGATGACAGGTCTGTATCTGGATGTTAAATGATTGGCAGAGTTGACGCGGCATTCCTTTGTCCTATCGACGACACCTTTTTTTGCCTCCTTCGAACACATTGAGCAACAGATCCATCGCGGCCAGGCTTTTCCAAGATATATGGCAGTGCTGTCGGGATGTCGATGTCAATGATGATGCATGGTTTTCCAAACACATCTCGGGATCGTCACATGCTTTTTTTCTCCGGCTGGTTGAGGTCCAATCAATGCAAGTCATTTAACGGATGGCTCCAAACAACACAGCTGCTATGACGCAAGCGGGGCTCCTCCCCGGTCGATGGAGGTCGACGTAGCCACCCACTGGCTCGACGGCAGCAGCAATCTGCGATGGCAGCGATACCTCAGCCGGCAGCGACTGGTCCGGGCTTCTTCAGCGCTTCAGCGCAGCGTCAGCGACAAGGGGAAGCCGGGAGGCTCCAAACAAAGTTTCCTGATGGCTGCGGCTGGACCGCATGGGCGTCTGCGTTCTGGGAGGGTGTTGCGTGTGTCCGTCCTTCTGTCGTCGGGTCTCTCTCTCTCTCTCTCTCTCTGTGCAGTGCCAAAGTGCAAAGTAACATTGGCATTGACATTGACACCTTCCAGACCTGACCGCGTGCGCTGGAATCTGGACACAATCATACCACGATTCTTGCGGTGAGACCGACTTGTCGTGATCTTTGCATTTTCGGCGGTACGCGAGCGCGTTCACCCACGTCCGTACTTTTTTTTTTTTGTTATCCCCCCCTTCTCAAATTTCCCCATCCCTTTATCGTTACCGTCCGGCGGCGCTCTCCCTTGTTATTATTAACCCGCCAACCGTTCCGTCTAGTCGATTGGTGTGGCATTGGATCTAATCCTTACCTCCGCCCCCAATTTGCGGCGACCACACCCCTCCACCACCCCTTCCCTTCTTCCACTATCGTTCCGGATCTACGCTTTGCTTCCCTGCTTTGGATACCACCCTCTCACCTCCAATGATGCCTGTTCATGCCATCAGTGGCTTTGGACTGATCATTTGAGAACCAATTTTCCATCCCAATCATCTTTTGCCAACTTCATCGCGCATTTCATCCCGCTGCGCAAAGAGAGGCGACCCTTCCCCCTTTTTAGCCGTTCCAGTCCCTGCAAATCTCGACCCTGCGCAACTGTTGCGACGCAGAACATATTTCTCGTCTGCGATCGGGTTAAAAACTCAAGAAAGACATGGGTAACTTCTCCGATTCCTCGGACGGCCGCCGCGACCGAATACGCGACCATGCCGTTACACAAACCGCCGTCGAATTCGCCCAACAAGCCGAAAAGTTGTCACACCAGAAGCACGAGACCAGCGACTCCGCCGTCGCCGTCGAGGCCCGTTTTGTCACACCGCAGGATCCCGTTGTCGTCACATCAGAGGGGCATAGGCTTCCGGGAGTCCCTCTACAAGAGGCACACAAGTTGAATATACTGAAAGAAGAACTCGAAGATGGCCCCGCGGTGGTCAAGATCAAGCAAGGGGACGAGGTGCAAGACGAGGTCGCCAATGCTGAAGAGAGTTCGGAAAGACAGGAGAGGGTAATTTCCCTACCAACGGACGTGGATGGCAAGTCTCTCCAAAGATCGCAAGAAGGCTCCCTTCGTCGCCAGATGCCGCCCTCACACACCAACCCCTTGTTTCCGCCTTTACCGCTTTACGGGCCGCCATCGCTGTTTCGCGACTTCCAGTGTATGGTTTTCCGGGTGTCGGCATTCTTCCTGAGCTTGGCGTTTCTTGGAGTCATTGTACTCGGCGCACTCTTCACCAGCATTCCGCCACTATGCACAAGGATATTCTACCGCCTAACACTGCGCAATCCCGACAAGCGGAGGCCATTCTTCGAGGAAGAGATACGCAGAAACAAGCTCCGTAGAGACCAGGACAAGAATTGGAAACGAAGCAAGTCCAGCCAGAAGCTCAGCAAGGACAAGGAGTCCATGGCTGATGAGTTCGTCCCGACCGAGGGCGGGCCCGATCCAATCGTCTGCGATGTCGGATACTACGCGCGTCGCGTTGGTTTGGACGTCGAGGAATTCCAAGTACAGACCGAGGACGGATTCGTAATTGACTTGTGGCACGTCTACGACCCGAAAGAATACACGCCGTTGAGCGAGAAGGAGAGAGCCGACAGAGGGCCCGACGTTTTCACTACATCAAGGAAGAAACTCAAGGATCCCGAACAGAAGAAAAAGTTTCCTGTCTTGCTTATGCACGGTCTACTGCAGAGTTCCGGCGCATACTGCACCAATGACGAAGATTCGCTCGCATTCTACCTTTGTAAATCTGGCTTCGACGTCTGGCTTGGCAACAACAGATGTGGCTTTAAGCCCAAGCACGTGTTGCTCGAGTACTCCGACCCGAGGATGTGGTGCTGGAACATCCGTCAGATGGGCGTTTTCGATCTGCCGGCGTTGACCTCGCGAGTTCTCTACGAAACCGGATTTGAGAAGATTGGTCTGATCTGCCATTCCCAAGGCACAACACAAACCCTCGTGGCCCTAGCCAAGGAGCAGCGACCAGACTTGGGTGAAAAATTGACAGTCTTCTGCGCCCTTGCGCCTGCCGCCTACGCGGGACCTCTGATCGGAAAGATGTACTTCAAGTTCATGAGGATCATCACCCCTGGCATGTTCCGCTTGATGTTCGGTATTCATGCCTTCATCCCCTTCATGATGCAGATGCACCAGATACTTCACCCCAAGGTCTACGGCTGGCTTGGATACAAGGTGTTCTCGTTCCTTTTTGACTGGACAGATACAAGATGGGATCGTGGTCTGCGAGATCGCATGTTCCAGTTTGCGCCTGTCTACGTCAGCTCGGAATCCATGCGATGGTGGTTGGGAAGGGAATGCTTCGCAAGGCACAAGTGTATCCTTTCTACCAAGGAGGACGTCCGCGCTGAGGAGAAGGAGGACCGCATTAACGGCGACGACTCTCACACCCTGCGAGCCGATGACGCCGACGGCCTTATGTCCCCTCGTACAGTCGATGAGCACACTCGTAGGCCCAAGGGCTCAACAGCATGGTACAACGAACAAGCACCGCCGTTCGCCCTCTGGGTTGCTGGAAACGATGACCTCGTCGACGGCAAGAAGCTCCTCCGCAGATTCGAGAGAGGCCGCGAGCCGCACCTCCAGGTGGTGCACAGCAAGGTCATTGATGAGTACGAGCACCTCGACGTCATCTGGGCCATGGATGCCCCGCAGCAGGTGTTTACCGAAATCCGCGAGGTTTTATGGAAGACTTGCAATGCACGGGACAAGTGCCGTATTCCCAAAGGCTGCGAGGACGTTGCGAAGTGG